ACGTAGTGCGGGCGCGTGTCCAGCCCCCCGAGGCGCTGGGGGTCGGTTCCCTGCACGCTCTGGATGTGAAGCTCCAGGATCAGCTCAAAGCGCGGCCACAGCAGCTCCAGCAGCCACCCCCAGTACCGGGGATTTTTTAAAGATTTTTTTAGGATTTTGGGGGGATTTTTTTAGGATTTTTGGGGGAATTTTTTGGGATTTTTTGGGAATTTTTTGGGATTTTTTTGAGAATTTTTTGGGGGATTTTTTGGGATTTTTTAAATATTTTTTTAGGATTTTTTCGGTATTTTAGGGGATTTTTTTTAGGATTTTTTGGGAATTTTGGGGGGATTTTTTGGAGAATTTTTTAGGATTTTTCTCAGGAATTCCTTGAGAATTTTTTCCCAGGAATTCCTTGAGAATTTTTTCCCGGCAATTCCTTGAGAATTTTTTCCCAGGAATTCCATGAGAATTTTTTCCCGGGAATTCCTTGAGAATTTTTTTCTCAGGAATTCCATGGAATTTTTTCCCGGGAATTCCTTGAGAATTTTTTTCCCAGGAATTCCTTGAGAATTTTTTCCCGGGAATTCCTTGAGAATTTTTTTCCCGGGAATTCCATGGAATTATTTTTTCCCGGGAATTCCTTGGGAATTTTTTCCCAGGAATTCCTCGAGAATTTTTTTCCCGGGAATTCCTTGAGAATTTTTTTCCCGGGAATTCCTTGAGAATTTTTTTCCCGGGAATTCCTTGAGAATTTTTTTCCTGGGAATTCCTTGAGAATTTTTTTCCTGGGAATTCCTTGAGAATATTTTTCCCGGGAATTCCATGGGAATTTTTTTTCCTGGGAATTCCATGAGAATTTTTTTCCCGGGAATTCCTAGGGAATATTTTTCCCGGGAATTCCTTGAGAATTTTTTTCCCAAGAATTCCTCGAGAATTTTTTTCCCGGGAATTCCATGGAATTATTTTTTCCCGGGAATTCCATGGAATATTTTTCCTGGGAACTCCTTGACAATTTTTTTCCCGGGAATTCCTTGACAATTTTTTCCCATGAATTCCTTGAGAATTTTTTTCCCAGGAATTCCTTGAGAATTTTTTCCCGGGAATTCCTTGAGAATTTTTTTTCCCGGGAATTCCATGAGAATTATTTTTTCCCGGGAATTCCATGGAATTATTTTTTCCCGGGAATTCTCACCCGTCCACGGCCGGGACGTTCCTCTTGGCCATGAGGGATCGGAACCTCAGCGCCAGGTGGATGCAGAGGAAAACGGCGATGGCGTCGTAGCAGTCGGACACGTAGCTCTCCATGTGCTTCTGGAACGTTCCGCGGGGAAAAACGGGAATTTCAGGGGGAAAACGGGAATTTTGGGGGGGAAAACGGGAATTTCGGGGGGAAAAATGGGAGTTTTGGGGGGAAAAATGGGAATTTGGGGGGAAAAATTGGGAATTTCAGGGGGGAAATTGGGAGTTTCAGGGGAAAAAATGGG